ACTGCCCTGTTCTGTCTTCCCCTCCCATTGCTGTCATCAGCACCCATGCTCAGGCCACCAGCTAGGTGTGCCCTTGGCTGAATAAGAGCTTGTCTTGCTGTTCACTCTGGACTGGTGTTCATTGTACAGACCAGGCCTCAAACTCAGTGAGATCCACCTACCTCTGCTTCCCAAGTGCTAGGATTAAAGCTGTGGGCCACCACACCCACTTTAAAAAATTAGATTTATTTTATTTTACATATATGAGTGTTTTGCCTGAATGTATGTACATGCACCATGTGCATGATTGGTGCCAAAGAGGTCAGAAGAGGCCGTCAGATCCTTGGGATCAGATGGCTGTGAGCCATCATGTGGCTGCTGGGAATCGAACTCAGGTCCTCTGCAAGAACAAGTGCTCTTTAAAAAGGAAATCAAACCAAAACCAAAATCCCTTTTAGACTTTAGTATCAAGGAAAAGACAAGGCATGGTGGTGCACGCCTTTAATCCTAGTACCTGGGTGGCAAAGGCAGGTTGATCTCTGAGTTCAAGGTTAGTCTGGTGTAGTGGAGAGCCAGGGCTACACAGAGAAACCATGTCTCAAAACAAACAAAAACAAAAAAGAAAAAGAAACAAAACCACTCAACTGCTCTGCATGCATCCATCTTAACCCTGTGAATCAACAAAATGGATCTCCCTCTGTCTTGATAGAAGGCTTGAAGCCCAGTGCAGGTCCACCTAGACACTTGGTTCATAGTACTGTTTGTTCCAGCATTGTTTTCTCTCTGTTCTATTTTTGCCCTATTGTATTGTACGTAATTTCGTAAGCTGCCTCCAAATCTTTTGGAACAGAGTGGGCATAAAAAGAGAACATGATTCAGTAGAGCCCTGTGGTCTTGGCAGGTTTTTTGTTTGTTTTACTTATTGGATTTTATCGTCACCTTAGGATTGAGTTCCTGGGATGGGAGGGCAGAGCTACCTTTGACTCTTTCTGTCTTCCCTTCCCCCTCCAGGAGCCTCCCTCCAGCAGAACAGCGACTAAGCCGGACTGGGCAACAGGTTGCAGAAGCCAAACCGCCAACGTCCATCTGCCTGCAGGCAGGCAGGCTTGACTTCCTCCCCCAGACCACTCTTCATGGTTTCCCATCTGGCTGATGGCATGAAGCCTGGGGACCTAGAAGAGCTTGTGAAGGGAGAAGGATGGGTAAGCAGATGACTGCTCTTTTTATTCCTTTTTTCTGCACCCTAAATCAGAGGATCCTAAGAAAAGCACAGAGCACTTACCTGCTCAGGTATGGAAAGGACAGGGAGGTCTCTGAAGAGCTGTTACAGAGTAAGTCTCAGGGCTGGCAGGACAGGGCCACATGCAGGCCGGTGTGGCTTAACCGCTCCATCTCTCCCCAAGTTCCTAGAAGACCCCCTCTCCCCCCAATGCTGATGCACGGGGTTCAACCCTCAATCTGTTCCTCTTATCCCAAACTGGATGGTTTCTCTAGCTCTGCTGTGTGCTTCTCCTTGGTCTCCTGTTTTCCAGTCTCAGTCTTCCAATCTCAGTTTTCCAATCTCAGTCTTCCAGTCTAACATGGGGTCATCTGAGAGCCGGATTTGAAGCTTGGATGATGTTAAGAATCCCCAGTCTGTCAAGATCTTGACATCTTCCATTCCTTTCATCTGCTTCCCCCTGAGGATGTGGTGTGAGTCTTGGTAGAGAGAAGAGGGGATGACTTGCGTATGGGGGATACTGGCCTTGAAGGTGAACACCACACAGGACCAGCTTAGATTATATCTGAGGCTGTGGGCTCCAGAGGCAAAGGGCCTGATCATTGCCCTGGTCCAGCCTGGCTAGGTTGGGACAGACAAGGTAAATGTAGAAAAGTGCAGAGCCTTTGCACTGCCTGGTGCCCTTCAGTGAATGAATAGCTGTCACGGAAAAGCCAGGAGTTGCCACTTTTCCTTAGGCTGTGATCCAGACCTCTGCCACAAGCTGCCCGTTGGGCACTTTTTTTTATAAAAATTTTTTATTAATTACACTTTATTTGTTTTGTATCCCCCCATAAGCCCCTCCCTCCTCCCCTGCCGATCCCACCCTCCCTCCCCTTTCTGCATGCATGCCACTCCCCAAGTCCACTGATAGGGGAGGTTCTCCTCTTCTTTCTGATCTTAGTCTATCAGTTCTCATCAAAAGTGGCTGCATTGTCCTCTACTGTGGCCTGGTAAGGCTGCTCCCCCCTCAGGGGGAAGTGATCAACGAGCAGGCCAATCAGATTATGTCAGAGGCAGTCCCTCTTCCCATTACTATGTAAACCACTTGGACACTGAACTGCCATGGGCTACACCTGTGCAGGGGTTCCAGGTCATCTCCACAAATAGTCCTTGGTTGGAGTATGATTTTCTGGGAAGTTCCCTGTGTTCAAATTATCTTGTTCTGTTGCTCTCCTTGTGGAGTTCCCATCCCCTCCAGCTCTTACTATTTCCCACTTCTTACATAAAATTCCATTCACTCTGCCCATCAGTTGGCCATCAGGCTCAGCATCTGCTTTGACAGTCTATACTGCAGAAGCTTTCAGAGGCCCTCTGTGGCACCGTTGGGCACTCTTACCACCTGGTCATTCTGGGTCCCAGCCTGTAGATCGTTTTGCCAAAAGGCCAAGTGGTTGTGAGCAATGACTCTAGAGGCCTTTCCTGGCTGCTGGGGTAACCATTAGTTCCTTCGCCTTGAGCTGCCTCATCAGGGACGCTCTGGCTCAGTGGGTGAGGGTGCTTGCTTCTACGCTGACCTGACTTCTATCCCTACAGCCCACATGGTGGAAGGCGAACCAACTCCTGTAACTTGCCTGCAGACCTCCACAGGTACACTGTGGCAAACACCTCTCCCGCTTCACCCCGATCCCCAAGATAAATGTAGTTCAAAATAAAATGTAAAGTGGATGTACATGAATACTTTCACTTCATAAAGGCTGCATGACACCTGAGACCAAATACTAAGAATGGTCCTGATGCATGCATGGCAGTATGCCAACACACACACCCGTTATCACATTAATAGGATAGGACAGGATAGTATGGGCCCAAGACATAGACACAGAGCACCTTGGTAGAGAGGGAGCATCCTTGGAGGAGGGCTGGATCTGGGCAGGGCATCGAGTAGGCCCCACATTGGCTTATTGGTCCAGAGACTTCTGGGGGTCCCCTCAGGTTTTGGAAAATCTTAGCTGCGAGCTGAATTAAAATGACAGTTTCCAGTTGTCTAAGGTGGGAAGAGAACCTACAGACTATATCTGAGACCTGAACCAGGCCTGGTGGCTCACACCGGAAATCGTAGCATTCTGGACGCTGAGACAGAAGGACAGTATTAGAATTCAAGGTCAGCTTACGAAAAAAAAAATTGTGACTTGCTGTGCAGGACCCTTAGGTTTGCCAAGTACAATTCAAGGTGGGTTGGTCAAAGGAGGGCCTTCCCCCAACCATAATCCACACTCAAGGGATGCTGTGCCTTGGGTAACATACCTGTTCAGTGAGTCATCACTGCAAAGAGCCTGAACACCATGAGTTAGAAGGCAGAGAGAGCAGACAGAGACCCTCTATCTCCTGGGTCTGGGGGGTCCCAGTCATAACCTAAGTCCCTGAAAGCCCTGGTGTGAAGGCTCCCATCATGTTCAAAACAGAGACTGCCAAGGCTACTGGCTTCTCCTAGATTCCCCAAAACCCTAGGCCAAGCTGGGGTGGGCAGAGGACCTTCACTCTCAGACTGTATCTGGGTGGGCAGGGTATCTCTTGTTCCATCACTCCAACTGGTCCTTCTTACCTCAGTCCCTGAAGACAGGCTACAGGCCAGAGACACCCTAATATTCTCAGGGGGCTCCCAGCCTGGCTCTTTTCCCCTCAGGTTCACTGCCCCCCCTTCTCTTAACTTCTCATTAAACAGGTCTCTCACTAGCTTTAATGAGCCTGTCTGGGGACAGAGAGACATGGGTGACACTCTAATTATGCCTTTAATTGCTTCCCAGGGAGAAGAGGAAGAGGAAGCCCAAATTTCTCTGTAGATGATGTAAGGATTCGGCATCTACAGAGCTGAATTCAGCATCTGCAGCTCAAGAATTCCTTAAATGTCCAGAGAACAAGCAGGGGGCCCTGCCCTGGCCATGCTTTCCCTTCTTGGAGCCATCCCAGGCTGTGGAGATGTGGGTGTGAGGAAGGCGGGGTCTGAGATTCCAGCCAGGACTGTGGGTGGAAGGGTCACCTGCTTCCCACACCCAGGGCAGTCGCACCCTGACCTCGTTTCCAGAGATGAACCCAGGGGAGGTGGTGAAAGGAGCAGAGTTGTCAATCAAGGATCTCCCATCCCATTGCTACATCAGCATGCATCTTTGGGGTGGCCTTGGTGGCCCTGAGTGTTGCTTTATCTACTGGAATATAGAGATCGTATTTATCTGAGGCTGAGCCCACAGCAAACAATCTGGAAGTCCATTCTCCCAACCCTACCCTGAAAGAGCAGCAACACTTCCACTTTACAGAAAGGCTCAGCGACCAGGGGGTCCTGAATTGATAAACAGCAGTGGGGACAGCAGAGTCCCAGAGCCTTGCAGGGTCTGCTCAGGCAGAGGCACAAGAAGCTTTGGCCCTTCCCAAGGCCTAAAGGTGAGGTGGCCTCAAGTGGGTTAAGAGAAGCTGCCCTGAGTCTCACGGGGCCAGGAGGCCCTGGTTGACTATAATGAATCGTCTCAACAGTCTACTTGATGACACCTAAAATCACCTGGGAAAGGGGCCTCTGGGTTTGTGTGTTACTTGAGGTAGGAGAACCCATCCACTATGGGTGGGACCACTCCTTTGGCTGGGCTAAAGAGGAGAGAAAGTGAGGGGAGCATGAGCATTCACTGCCCTCTTTTTGACTGTGGATTGGATGTGACCTGGCTGCTTCAAGCTCCTGCTTTTGCCAGAACTGAGACACTAGCTAGTCACAGCCCCTCCTCCTGCACCCCGACCCTGAAATAAGAGCCCAGGAAGAAGAGACGAACACTGAGAGTGCTAGGAGGAAATTTTAATGTTTTCTTACTGCTTTATCAATGTCATGGAAAAAATACAAAGTTTAAGAGTCTAGAAGTGACCAGGTAAATTTAGGAGGGGGTGGGGTGGGGTGCGCTGCTGGCCAGAGGCACAGTTCTGCGGCTCTGTCAATGCCTACCAAGGTAGGAGCACCAGTCAGGAGCCAGTGAGTGTTTCAGGGTCAGGATCTGGGAGGACTCTGGAAGCAGAGCAGTCCATGGCAGGCTACCATCACCTCATCTGGCCAGACTCCAGGTTGTAATTTAGCTTGCTCTCTCCCCAGATTCCCACTGGCTATGCTAGACCACGAGGTGGGTCAGCCTGTTCCCAGCACAGAAAAGTAATGAGCTACCAACCCCCGGGGCTCAGGCCCCTTCTTCTACTCATGTTCTGGGTAGAGTTACAGGAGCTGAGCAAAACAGATTTCAGAAAAACAAACAGCCAGGAGTGGTGAACAATTGTAACCCCAGCTCTGGGGGAAGGGAGGTTTGCTGTGTATGACTTTGAGGCCAGCTTGGGCTACAGAGTGAGACTGTCTCTCAAAAAGCCAAAAACAAACAAACAAAAACCCACTTTCATTTACCTGGAATTCAAATTGAAAATCGTCTCATTGTTTCATGTTTTTTTGCTAAGTCTGGCCCATAGCCGACCCTAGTCCTGGCCTCTACAGTTGGGAAAGGCTGAGAATGGAAGGAGACCCTGCCCACTCCCAACCCCCAGGGTGGGGGTGGGGAGACACAGCCCAGTCAAAACACAGTTCATACTCTGGGGAATAAGGTATTCTTTAAGGATCATTTTTCAGAGCTTTCCTACAGAGTCCTCATTCAGCTGCTAACAGCTATGGAGGTGGGGTTCAGGGACAAACACTGGTGGCAGCTGCCCCCCACAGTTCAACCTGGGCAGGGACTGTGTACCCAGACTCTGACAGTTACTGTGCCACCAAGACAGCCTGCTAACAGGATTCTACTCTCCTGGTAGGGGGTTTTGACATTGCTCTATTCGGGTTTAAACATGACAACAAACGAACACACCCTGGGGCAGCGCTGGCTCCTTTCCTGTTCCTAGTGTCACTGAAGAAGGGCCCCTTTCTTGAGAACCCAAGAAGCTGGGAGCAGGGAGGGGAGGGGAAGGTGTTCCCCATCCTGCCCTGGCCCCTGGGAAAGACTGCATTTAGTGTATTGGTTGAGGCTGTCTCCTGCTCCAGATGAACTCCAAAGAGCACCAGGCTTCCAGTGAGGAGCCAGGGGTGGAGGAGAAGCCCAGACATGTGGTCACCCCTGCCTCCAGCTCCATACACCTCCCTGGTAGGCACCAGACACCAGGCGAAAAAGGGGAGCCAAGTGTCTGTGACCTTGGAGAGACGGCTACACCTGGCTTCCCTGCCATTGCTGCAGGAACTCAAGCTAACATATGGCATCCATCTGAGGCCAGGCTGGAAGCAAGGGGCCAGAGAGAGGAGGATGGATTCCTGTTGGAATACAGTTCTGGTCCAGGCTGCTGCAGTGGGGAAGACAGGTCAGGCTGCCAGTACCCATGCTACCTCCCTGGCACCCCAGTCCCGAGGTCCAGGGTCTACTCAAATATGAGGTTCTTAGCTGCACCTACACATTAAGATCAAAAGGTCAGAGTGAAGGCAGCAGCAGGGAAAAGATGCAGCCCAGAGCTGTGGAAGCTACTTTCAATTTTCTGTCCTGTCTCAAACTCGGATCTCATCTTCTTCCTCCTCATCCATGAAGGAGAATTCCTTGTCTGGCTGCCTTGGGGCAGCAGGCCCAGCCCTGTCTGGGCCTCGGAAAGCTGGGCTGCGCTCCTCCAGGACACCTGAGGTGCAGCTGGACAGGGAACTGCTGTCCCTTGTGGTGTGGCTGCTCATGCTGCGTGCTGAGCTGGGGCTGGGGGCTGCCGCCGCCCACCCGTCATCCTCCAGAGTGTGGTGGGGCAGCATGGAGGTCTGGTCTGAGCTGGCCTTGCTCTCCTGTCTTCCCAGAGAAGGAGCTACCTCCAGCAAGGCGGGAGCCTGGACCATGCTGCTGGGCCCTTCTCTGTCGCGGTAACCGCCACCCTCTTCCTCTTCTGGGTCCCACTCGTCCTTGTCCATGATGCTGAGGACGTCACCCAGCATGGAGGGCCCCAGGTCGATGTGGAAGGACATGATGGACTCAGCATGTTTCAGCCCGTAGCTGGCTTTGGGCACAATGGGTAGATCCGTCAGGTCGCCAAAGGCCTGCTCGTCAAGGAGTGGGTCAGGGGAGTGGGGGCCTGTGGCCCCATTCCGATGGGGACCCACCTCCCCTGAGCCTGTCTCTGGGCCACCATTTCCAGCATCTACCTTCTTCACAGGGCTGGATGACAGGCTCTTGGGTAGCTTGTTGGAGCCCTTCTCAGTGGCTTCCTTCTCATTGAGCTGAGGCAGGGACATGGCATTCTTGACAAACAGCGCTGAGTCCCGCAGGGAGCCCAGCATGTCTCTCTGCTCGCGGTCCCCTCTGGTCACAGACTGTGACCGCTTACTGCCTCGGAATTTCCTGGACAGGAGGCTGCGTTTGGAAGAGGAGGAGGAGGCCTGCTCATCCAGGGACTCACCGTCAGCCTCACCGGCCTTGCTAGTGAGGAAGGAGGTGTCCCCGAAGGCATCCCCAGCCCGGCCCACATGCATGGTGTGGCGGAAGTCACCCAGCGGGGCACTGATCATCTCCGCTGTGAGGTCCACACGGGAGCGGCGCTTCGAGTGCACAGAACTGGACACCAGCTGCTTGAGGATGGGCATCGTGCTGGCTGGAAGGGGAGCTGGAAACTCCCAAGGTGGGAAGCAGGCGTGGGGTTGGATCTCAAGTCCAGCAAGTGTAACCGGTAGACAGGGCAATCAGAGGGCTGCAAGGAGAGGAGAGGCAAAGGGTTAATCAAAAGGTTAATATATGACATCCACCCACCAAAGGACCATCATTTACCTGCTTTCCCATCAAAATTACTGGCAGTGAATTCCTAACTTTGCCATTTCTTTACACCCATTTCTTAACATGGAACAATATTTAATTAAGCTAGAGTTTGGTACCAGAGACATACTTTCTCTGAAACCGAAGAGGGAAATTATCCCCCCAGATCCCACCCCTATCCCTTCCTAAGCAGGACCGCTATTTGAACAAACTGCCTTAAAGGGCAGTTACGGTCAAAAAGGCACTGAAACAAGCAGGTTCCAGACAGCTGGTCTGCAGGCCAGCTCCAAGAACTTCCTGTTGTCTAACCTGAATTCCTGCAGTGTTGGTGGACACCTCAGCCTGAGTCAGAAAGAACAGAATGGCCCGGCCAGGCCCAAATGCTGACCGCCACTTCTACATTTGGGCAGCTGGCTGGTCTGGCTCTCTTTCTGAATCAGAATTGGGGTAGGGATGCAAAACCCCACAGAACCAGCTCCCTGACTTTCCAGCCCTCATGGGGGTGTCACATCCATGAACACTCCTGCCGTGACATCACTGGGAGGCCCTAAGCTCTGTGTAACGGGCTCCATCTCCCTCCTGGCTTATCATTAGGCTGGAGGGAGACAGGACTCTAGAAGACTTTCTCTTGGGATGTGCAGGGTGCCAGGTGACTAGAAACCCAGAACACAGTGCAGGGTGATCTCAGGGCCAAGCTAAAGTTCAGGGTTAAGACCCCAATTGAGGCCCTCGCTCTCCCTAGCAGAGCTGGGCAGGAAGGAGTTGGGTCCCCGGGTATCTGTCTCCTCCTGACAGCTACATAGCTAGGTCTTACCCAGGGCTACCTGTCCCACTGCAGAGCTCAGACACTGAAGTCTGGTAGGCTTGGATTGCTTCCATTGCCACATTCTAAGCCGCCCCGAACCACCTGTCCCTGACAGTCGCTTAGCTGGTCTTCCTGCCTGGCCCCATTTCTCTCATTCTTGGTTTCTTGGCTAAACAAACACCCCCCACACACACACACACATTAAAAAACAAAACAAAAAACCTGACAAGTGACAATTCCTTCCCTGCAAACTTCCCAGGACCATCCCTGCTTCCTTCTTTGATGTCCCTGCCAGCCACCCACCCTTCCCTTGCTCTCTCACCCCACTCTTGGGCTTGAGACAAGGTGTTGTCTTCCAACACCCCACCATCCGGTGCCACCAACATCCTCAGGGGGACAATGCTGCTCTCGGGAAAGCCTCCAGGCCAGCCACTTCTCACATCTCTGGGCAGGCACCTGTTACACCATCCTGTCCCTGCCAGCTGGATGCTAACCTTCCTGCCAGGCGTGGGCTCCAAAGGGTTCTGACAGGTCTCAGTTCTAAATCCTGACCAGCACCAGGTGTTACACAGCTCAACTCCAAACACTCTTTTAAAGTGTGGCCAGCCTCCCTCAATCCCAGTCCCTCAGTCTCTTTCCCCATCTGCCTTCAGGTCAGCCCTGGGCTCCTGGTTTGACCTCTCTATGTCCTCTGACTCTTCCCCTACATTCTATAATTCCATGTCAAACGGCTACCATCCAGTCTGATAACACCCCCACCAGTAAGAGTGAGGCACCCCTCACCACCCCAAGCATGGACACTGCTGGTCTCAGAGCAAACACCCAGGAGAGCACAAGGGGCAGACCCACTACACAGATGGCCTGGACCAGCTTGGAGTCAGGGAGAACCCTGAGCCAAGTTTTGAGGAAAACGCTCTTTAGCCTAAAAAAAAAAAAAAAAAAAAGGTTGGGGAGCTGGCTTGGTGGGTGAAATGCTCGCCACTCAAGTCAGATCCTCAGAGCCCTTGGAAAGCTAGACTTACCTGCATTTTAGCATACCTACAGAGAGGTAGGAAGAGAGACAAAATCCAGAGACGACAGCCTGGCCTACACAGGGTTAACCAGAGACCCTGTCCCAAACAAGGCGGGAAGTTAGGTGGGAATCAGTCCTTTAACCTCCACACACCGACTGTGCTGTGCTGTGTGTCAAGCAATTATTTTAATTGTGTGGCGTTTCCCCTGCATGTATGTATGTATATGTCTTTGTTCTATATGCATGCAGTGTCTGTGGAGGCCAGAAGAGGGCGTTGTATCCCCTGCAACTGGAGTTACAGCTGTGAGCCATGTAGGGACTGGACACCAAACGGGGGACTTCTAGAAGAACAGCCAGTGCTCTTAACCACTAAGCCATCTCTCCAGCTCCCCACCCCTAGTTAGAAAGAAAGAAAAAGAAAAAAGAGGAGGAAAAAAATGGGAGGCATGGTCTCTGCCCTTACAATGTGGTCCTGGCAACCCCTCTGGTTTCCCTGCTGCCAGGTGATCAGCAGGGTAAGACAGGTTCAGAGCTTCTCACCCAGAGTGCTAGATTCACACAGCGCTGGGAGGGACACCCAGGCTCTTCCTTCTTAAGGATGAGAAAGCAGGGTCACTGAGGAGGTGACTCAGCCTCAGCGGGGTTCACACCCCAGTGAGCAATGCCAGCCCAGGGCGGGCACCTGCTGAGGCTGTCTCCTGATTCTGGGTACTCTGTTCACTGTCCAAAACCAATGGAGTGCCCTCCCTACCACTTGCCCAGGAGGTCCAGAGAAGGAAGGGAGGTGTCTGCCATCTAAAAACAATTGCATTATTCTAGCGTGGCCTGAGGCTGCTAGGGGCCAGTCTGTCTAATTAGGGGTGGTGCTGGCTGAGTGGGTAGGACATTCACAACAGCCCTGGTCTCTGCTGTTAGATACCAGCAGCACCCATCTCCCCACCCCCACTTTATGGTATCCCAAATGGTCAGGGTACTCATTCCCTACATTCCGTGGGAGACAAACTGAGAAATGTTGAAATCATATGAAAATAGGAATCAGGCATGCAGGAGCAAGGTAGAGGTCAAAGGGCACCCAAGATCATACAGATGTGTGAAAAGACTTTACTGTAGGTCCAGGAATCCCCCTTACAATCCCGGAAGCTTGACCATACTGTGGCTTCCCATCTGAAGTGCTCATCAGAAAGAAAAGGAAGGGGAACCAGAGGCTCAAAGCCCAGGAGTCTCCAGAGTCGCCCCCAAAGCCACCCAGAGGGACCAAGTATCCAGACCGTAACAGAGGGACGGGAAATCCACCATTCCTTCCGTTAGTGGTCCCCTTCCTTAGCACTACTTTCTCAGTAGAGCTATTAAAAGGGGGATAGGAGGGACACAGTAAAAATCAGTGTGGCACTCCACATTCATACATGCCATCCTAGGCCACACCCAGTACCCCCTCTCTGCCTCCCGAAAAACAATAACAGATCTACTTCCTGTGAGATCTACTCCTGAGAGTGCGTACAGGCTGTACGGCTTGTGAGAAACTATTTTCAATATCTAGTAAGAGAGGCCTTAGGTCTCCTGCCACCCTGGAGTCTGGATAAGATGAGGCCTCATCCTCTAGGATCTCACAGTTCGAGCACCTAAGACACAGAGCATGCAACAGGCTTTAGGGTCAATGAAAACTCAGCCAGTAAGGTGTTTGAAGTTGCTGGCTTCAAGGCGACAAGCAATGGTGAGTCACTCAAGCTTCTAAAGGACAAGGTTTGGGACTGCGGAGATGGTCAGGAAGGGAAGCTGGGCCTGCCAGGGGCTGACATTGGGGGCCTCCAGCGCACTGCTGAAAAGGACAAGGACGGGAGCACAGGGGTGTGGCTTTGGGAGGAGTGTTGCTAAACACCATGACTCAGCTCTGGGGAAGTGGCTAAAACAGGCTGCCTCATGAGGCCAGGCGGACATCCCGCCCTGGAGGCCACATCCCACTTTCCTGGGTGGACAAGGGAAACAGGCCAGCAGCTCGCAACTCCCCCTAACCCTCTAGAACCTTGGAGGGCAGCAGCACGTTCCCCTGTTACTGTCAACAAGCCCCGCCACTCACTTCACACACAGCCCAGACTCTGAGAACACAGGCAGCTCTTGCTGTGTCACCACCCTCCCTGGATGGATGAACTCTGAGCAATACCCTCCCAGACCGGCCAGCAGACTGACAAACGGCAGGATGCGAGGCATCCCACTCTAAATGCCCTGGCAGTGACCTGTCCCTGACATCCCAGCCCTAGGCAGGAGCCAGAGCTACGCTTTCCTGAGACAAGACAGCCAGGCAGGCCTCTCACCCTGCAGCTGACCGGAGGCTCACCCCAGTCAGTACACAAAGTAACACATGCTTCCTCTACCCCTGCCCCTGCCAAGGGCAGCCACGCCTTCTGTCAGTCCTTCCCCAGTTCTCCATCTGAGACTGGCTCTAGGCGATGTAGCCGGATGGAAGAGGGCACTAGGCACATGGTAACTTTATAGCTCACTGGCTATAAGAGGCTTCATTTACCATCCATTCATTCAGTCAGTCACTTACTGTGTTACTGAAGACCCCCCACAATATTTACATATAGCCAGCAAGGGTTCCTTCTGTACCCAAAGATTCAGCCAACCACAGTTTGAAAATCTACATCTGCACCAAACACGCAGATATCTCCCTTATGACTTTTGTAAGCAAACAGCACCGCTGTCTACCAACCGTTCACCTGTTGTGTGTACAAGGAGCCCAGAGCCCACTTGAAGGACACAGAAAGTTATGCACAGGTTACTTGCAAACCACAAATTTTAGACAATGGAGCCGGGCGGTGGTGGTGCACATCTTTAATCCCAGCACTTGGGAGGCACTTTGAGGTCAGCCTGGTCTGCAGAGGGAGTTCCAGGACAGCCAGAGCTATACAGAGAAACTCTGCCTCAAAAAACAACAAAACCCAAAATAACAACAAAAAACCATAAAACAAACAAACAAACAAAAAAGCAAACAATTTTAGACAATGGGCTCTGGGACAAACATCTGGGATTTGGTTATCTGAGGGGGACATCCCGCCCTGGAGGCCACATCCCACTTTCCTGGGTGGACAAGGGAAACAGGCCAGCAGCTCGCAACTCCCCCTAA